TGCCGAATAATTTTGATTTAGGTATTCCTTTAGTACTGATGAGGTATGCCATCACTATCCTGAAATAGACTCAAGCAATGACTTCGAATACAAGTTTGCCTATAATTGCTTACATCCACTTTATTTGAACTTTGGTGGATAGTTGTCTCATTGGCAATCATACCTCATATCCTTATTTCTATATAGCACATTAATAAAGATTTACATACTGTCCAATGTGGGATGTAATCCGTCTCGATATCTACATCTAAACACACCACAAAAGTTAAATACACCATGCATATTATGTTTCCATAACCTTTCAAAGAGGAACAACCTAAACTTATTACTGAGTATTTCCTATGATTCAGCTTTTCCTATTTACATATAGTATCATGATAACAAACAAAACAAAATCCTCAATTTGAAGTTTCCTCCTTTTTCCAACAGGCAATAACATTTGAAAACACATATCGATGGACAAGTTATATTAAAAATTTGATATCATATGCAAAACACCATTCCATCCATTGATTGATTGATTGATTGATTGATTGATTGTTGTTTTCTTTATGTAAAGTGGCATTTTATTTCAAGCATATCAAGAGTGAAAATAAATTAAACAATGAATCAATAAGACAGGATTTGTTAACCGGTCCAAAATAAAGAGTTATGAAACTTCGAAGTAAAAACTTCATTTTATCTACAGATATGCTCGGGATGGGCAGGCCATTTCCTTTCCAATGCAGAAACTGAACTCTCAAGCATTTTACGAGAAATCAATAGACGCGAAAAGTGTTGCTCTCTCTGAATTTTGGACATTGGACCTAAAGCATATAAATCAACCGAATCTGGTTGTTTATTCATAATTACTGCATTTTATAATCGAAGTCCCTCGGCAAGGATTTTGATTCCGAATCAGAGAAGTTCTGGTCACTACATTGAATATTTATTCTTTTTATTATATTAACCATGGACTTTTTGATGGAAATGAAATTTTAAAAAAATGAAAGGAACTGTATTTTTTTTTACACTTTCACAATTGTATTGATGTAACATCATCGACAACGTTTTTACAACACACATTGTTGCATGACGTTAGAGGAGTGGACTTATCAGATTAAATTTTATTTCACTGGAAAATCGCGGTAATTCGGTGCAAACAATGTAATATTGCTTTTTTATTAACTTTGAATAAAAACAATTTGACTTATTTATGATTAGAAATACAAATCAATGAAAATTTAAAAAATGAAACATATTTTCATATATTTCGAAAGCAAGCCTGTTTTTTTAGAATTTTGAAATACTTATCTTGATCTAAAATATATCTCAAAAATGCACAAATAGATTGTAGAATGTTTCTCGACTAAATACATAAAAAAATATACAAAAGGAATCACCAAAAAACTTAACAGCACAAAAGACCACACTCACAACCAACGAACGACTCCTTCGAAAAAAAGACATATACATGCATACAAAGCAAAAAAATGTCGACATTCACCTCAAAAGCTAACCAGACCTTTAAACAGACTTATTCAGAAGGGATATAGTTACGATACTGTTAGGTAATTAAAGATGGCATATTTTGGTCTTAATATTGATTCACTCATAGGGTCTTTGCATCGGAAATAAACACATTTATTCTAAAACCATTTGTTGGCATGATACGGGTTATGTTCTTCTCATATACTTTATGATAGGATGATACTAAACCCCTAACGGGAGGGATTGTGCTTTATTTTCAAATGATGAAAACATAATTTTTCAATCAGTTTAATTGAGGTTTGGAGCTGGCATGTCAGTAACTGCTAGTAGTCCTTTGTTAATTTATGTATCATTGTCATTTTGCTTAGTTTCTTTTGTTACCTTTTCTGACATCGGACTCTGACTTCTTTTCAACTGAGTTTTACTGTGCGTATTGCTGTGTGTTTGTTTATTCTACATTAGCTAGAGGTACAGGGGGAGGGGGGAGATCTCACAAAACATGTTTAACCCCTCCGCATTTTTGCGCCTGTCCCTAGTCAGGAGCCTCTGGCCTTTGTTAGTCTTGTATGTTTTTTAATCTTAGTTCATTTATATGTTTTGGAGTTCAGTGTGACGTCCATTTACATTGAACTAGTAGTGGCCAGCTGAAGCCCGCCTCCGTGTGCTGGATTTTCTCGCTGTGTTAAATACCCATTGGTGGCCTGCGGCTGTTTTCTGCTCCTTGGTCGGGTTGTTGCCTCTTTGACATATTTCCCGTTTCCATTCTCAATTTTATATAATGTAGAGCTGCGCCATGAGCGCATGATACGCCCGTCAACCTTTAAGCTTTTAGCTTTAAATAAATTGATATGATCAACTAGGAATTCCGCGAGCACTGCTCAAATAGACCCCAAACCAAATCCCACCCCTACCCCCAAAAAATTATTATCTACGATTTTTCAACGAATAAAGTTCCATAACTCCGCAATGGCATGCCAGAAATGTATATAAACAAAAAACAAAAGGGAGCTTATTTCAATACATATAAGAAAGGTTACCAAATTTTCACGAAACAGCTGCTCAAAGCGTTTTGAGTTAATTGTCAGAAAACTTGAAAATGCCCCTTTTTTTTTGAATAAAGTCCCAATACTCCAAAACGTAAAATCAAAAATTTTGAAAAAATCGAAAGGGAACTTATGTCAATATATGTATAAAAATTCACCAAAGTTTCATGAAAATTGCTCAAAAATGTTTTGAGTCATAATTAGATAACTGGAAAATCAGCCATAACCCAAAATATTTTAATCGAAAATTTATAAAAATCGAAAGGGAGCTTACGTCAATAGATATAAACAATTCATCACAGTTTCAAGATAATTGGTGAAAGTGTTTTTCAGTTATTTTCCGAAGTGTTGACAACGGACGGACGGACTGACGAATAACGGTATACAATAATACGTCCCGTCTTTATAGATGGGTGTATAAAAACAAACAAAACGAACAACACACGAATATGAAAGCTTGAATTATTAAAGGCACTATGGAACGAGATCGCTAATACAGAAACCTAGCTTAGGAAGCTGCAGATGCAGGTCAAAACTGCATTTAACTATCCTTTAATTCAATAAAATTGTCTCTATAAAATAATTTAATGTTAAAATATTTCTGTATATGTACGACAAAAATGTGTGGGAATGTTGAGACGGTATTGACACTGTTTAAAACTGTACTGATAGGTTCTCAATTAAAAGCTAATAGAGAAATATGTAAATCAAACATTTTATATTTGACTTGATTTTATGTCAGATTGTTTAAGTTCCTCTTCTTTTTTTTATTAACTTTTCCGCTTTTCATTGAAAACGACAAGAAATTGAACAATGGATATTCATTTACGAATTATTGAGAGGTTTCCACCAAAGCTGGTACATATAAGTGATTAAATTATGATGTAAATGGGGGGAAAAAACGCTGACACAGTGTTGCATTGTACCGTAGACATATTTCTAAATTAGTTACATGTAAAGTATTTACAAATAATACAGGTAAGACCATTAAATTAAAATCAGCCATTAATAATTGTAAATTTACACCATTTTTTCTTCATTAGAAAATGTGTTTACTGAATGACAAACTGATTAATGAAATCGACTATATGCTTTATGTGATTGTCCCAAGTCAGGAGCCTATAGTTTTTTTTTTTTTTTTTTTTTTTTTTGTAAATAGTTTTGTTATAAGTTAGGCCGTTAGTTTTCTTGTTTGAATTATTTCACATTTTCATGTCGGGGCCTTTTATAGCCGACTATACGGTATGGATTTTTCTTTGTTGCAGGCCCTATAGCTGATTACAATCATTCCATTTGAACTCTGGTGGATAACTGTTTCATCGGCAATCATACCACATCTCATTATTTTATATAAACGCCTCAATTGACAATGCATTCACACAAAAGTATCAAAATTCGTATAATTATGTGCATTCAAAGATGTCTGTTTACTGTCTTTGAAAAACAAATAATCATCTTAGATACTGTACTCATTTTACAGTAGCTATCGTTTTGTTTACATGAGACTTGGAGGTAGCCATCAATTCATAGCAGTCGGAATGTCAAATCAATTAGGATTAGGTCAAATGTTAACGGAGACCTTCAATGATCTATAAGCTCTCATTCATACTTGGGCGTAAGACATAGTACATTTAATAGCAAATATCTTTTTTAACCTTTTCCTTTTTTCGAGATATATCTTTTAATATCTTTGGCAAATTCAGTGATTTAACTGATTCCGATGTTTAACACTTGATAACGACGGGACAGTGATACATCACAAGACAAAAAGAAGATAATAGCATGATTACACAAAACAATAGTAATAAGAGATTTAGTTTTCAGCATCATGGACCCAACAAAAACTAGAGATGATTTCTTTAAGGATAGTAGTTCATTACAAATTAAGATTTGGAAAAAGGTTTTGGCGATCCGTCAATATGTGGTCACTGGAGAAAGTGATAGTTTACATCAAAACATGGTTTATCATCAAACATTAAATATCTCGAAAAAAAAACTAGGTACATATTTTCTCAAGTATCCGACTCTGTTGCCAGGACTAGGTAAATTTCCGGAGTAAAAATTACAGATTTCGTTATTATTTAGAGGACAAGTTTGCATAAGAGAGTGGCAAAAGCAACTTTTAATCAAAGTGTTTTAAGATCATGTCAGTATCGAAACTATGGCTACTGGTCGGGTAGCAAAATAGTTACTTGTAATCGATTTCACATTAACGAAATGAAACAACATCTCAATTTTAATTTAAATAGCGGGACATTACGAAAATTTCTCTTATCATGTTGTATAATTTATTTTGTTTCATCAAACGAGGTTTAATACAAAAAGTATAATAATAAGAAAACAATATCATTAACATGACTGCTTTTTTTAGTATCTAACATATTCTTTGGAAATGTTTTGGTCACCTCGTATATATTCTTAGCATTATTTTAGCAAAATCACATACATAATTAGCTATACAGAGTAAATATGTATATCTTTCAGACAAGAAGATATGGCTCAGATTGCATTTAAAATTTCTTCGTACAAAAGTATTGTCAAAAAAGAAATAACGTCTAAGCTGCAACAACATAATAGAATCTTAAATGAACTTACAATGGGTATTGATGCCACTGACTGCCAGGTCACAGCTGTTATTACTGATATAAGAGAAGACGAAAAAATGATCAAACAAACGATTGATGAAATGGTCAATAAAATGATTGAAGACGTAACTGAAAAAACTAGGTTCGAAAAAGATAAGCTGTCGAATATCGTCGAAGCTACAAAATCAAGAATACAGATTCTGACTGCCTTAGAAGAAGAAAGGAAAGATTTAAAAATGGAAAGACAAAATGTGGACTTGTTTAACGACGTGAAAAGTTTGCAAGAGGACATTTCTGAGATAGAAATTGGAGATCTTCCACCATTGCCGTCGATAGATTACAAACATGTAATGCATGAAATAAATTTGGACGGTCATTTTGGAACTTATAGTTTCAGGTAAATATTTTGATCATTTAGCATTCACATATATTAACGATGTCTAGCGGTTACCATCACACACTTGTGTCTCAACCCACGAGCGTTATATTTTCCCGGTATTTGATTGAGCCATTGTGTACTATTACCTTTATTGGATTTTTTTTTATAACTGGATTTGCATGGCCGTTAATATATACATAGTGGCAACCTATCGACACACTCAGCATCGCTCCTTTTTGGAGTTCATACAATTGTATCAGTTTTGTTTATCTTGTTTTGCAAATTAGAAATGGAATTACGGGCTGTCAATATCGATAAATTACTTGTGTCCATTATATAGCAATCGTAACCACGGTCCAGTGTATTGATTAAATACATTACATGCGTTCCTTTTTATTTCCATATAAAACAATATATTTTATAATCAGTCAATAAAATAGAAAGCGTCAAAATTAATCCGGAAATAAGAACTTATACCACATAATTTTTATAGGATAAGTTGTGAATTAGAAAAAAATCCTGCACATTCTACAACAAAATTATAACGATATTTTAGTGTTATCTGTGTTTTTTGTTTTACAGGCTTCCTCAAGGAAATACATTTGAAGAATACGATTTGATGTTAACACATGACGGAAGTATATCATATGTCGGTAGAAATACCAAAAAAGTTATATGTAGTCAACCTTTACCCGACGGAGTAGAGATGATCCGAAACAAACATGGCAGACCATTTTTTATAGATCATAACGCAGAGGTTACAAGATTGGGTATTGAGTTGCAAAAAGGATGGGAAATGATGTTTACGCCTGAGGGAAAACCATACTATGTAAATCACAAAACTAAGAAGACAACATGGACATACCCACGACAACAAATCGAAAATTAAACCTATTTATGTTTCTTAAACTAAGATGCACGTTTCTAATATACTTGCGTGCGTATTCATCTCAATGAGACCGACACTCTGTGTGTATATATTTTTTGGTTTATTGTTTGTGTCTTTTGAAGGGAACTGAATAAATGTCGCATGTAAGCATCAGTTCACTCAGGAGTGGGTTTTTTCAGTTTTGTTTTTTTTTATTTTCTTCATGCAAGGTATATAGTTGATGTATTTTGTACATCTGTAGTTGATATATGACTCTGCGATCCTAATTCATAGAGAAGAAATCTAACATTCTTGTCCAAAAATGAATGTACAATTATGAACGAAGTCCTTTATGATCGACTTTTATCTTTCATTCATTATCAAGAGATGTGTTATTTGATTTTTCTTTCTTACTTAATAAAAAATATTTTACAAGGATTTTAAATTATATTATCGACTTCTAAATATACTGACAAAATTTACCCAAAGGAACTTACTTTAAATAAATCAAATAAAAACGGTAATAACTGTCCTTTCCTAGATTTAGATATTTCAGTTTTACACGGGAAACTCTACACTAAAATTTACGACAAAAGGGACGATTTTTCGTTCCCTATTGTTACTTTTCTTTTTTTGGACGGTGATGTTCCTTTGGTACCATCTTACGTTGTTTATATATCACAACTCGTTCGCTATGCCCGTGTCTGTTGTGACGTTTTGAATTACAAAGAACGTAATCTATGTATTACTGGTAAATTATTAAGTCAGGGATTTCGTTACCACAAATTACTTAAAACCTTTACTAAATTATTCCATAGATATAAAGATTTGGTTTTGATGTTTGGTTGTACCTGTAGAAAACTTATTTCAAACGGGATAGCACATCCTCATTTTTACGGAGATGTTGTTTACCAAGCCCGGAAATTTAGAAACGATCCGGGTAAACTTATCGATCCTTTAAATAAACTTATTCTAAAAGGTTACCAATTTAACACTGTAATTATTTCTTTGAATATTGTTTTATTGGGATTAATATTAATTTTGTTATCAGTAAATTGAAATCAAACTAAATATCATTTTTATATACATATGCACATTCATGGCTCTACAATTTGTCGATACCTGTATCTTGGCATTGCACAAGGTCATGTTTTTCTCTGACTGTTTATGACGTATTTACACTAAATCCATTCGATGTTGGATGTTTACTGATTGATATTTTAGTCTTAGATGCATGATTTATTTTATTAGTTGTTATTGGCTTTGAACTAGCTGTCAGTAACTGCGAGTATTCTCAGATCTGTAATTAGTGTCTTTTTGTTGTGTGGATGTATAAGTACCCGTCAAAGTCCAAGTCTATTCTGTGTTTTTTGTTAGATGTTTTTCTATTTGTATGAATCTGATGAGTTAAGCCTTTTTCAACTGATTTTTATAGATTGTTCTTATATTGTACTGTTACACCACTGTCCCAGGTGAGGGGGAGGGTTGGCGCCTTCTTATAAGCGTTACATGTATAAGACCCTCCCACGGTTTTTATGCTTAAAAGTGTGTAGTAACAAAACTGCCGTTTTTGAGGTTATTAGGTTTTTATATGTAAATATCACTCTGAGTAATATTTATCTCTAATAAAATTTGAATCCGATTTAGACGCGTCGATTTCAGGCGAATAAGCTATATTAAGGCTCATGCAAGTGCTTTTTCTGTACGTTTCTTACATTTTCCACGGTGTGTAAGTCATTAAAAGTTCAATAATTAGTTAATATATACATTAAAATACCTCCCCACAAAATGACTGTTAAAAACTCCCATTTTAATTCTGGGGTCTTTAAATAACTATATTAACTTAGCATTGAAATTTCACTAAAACAAAAGAAAAAATTCATTTATAAAATGTTATAACTTATTATATTTAATAATGCGTATATAACCATGATTATTTAGGTACCCCTTAGTGTCTATTATATTTTCCGCATTTCATAGAAAACGACAAGAAATCGAACACTAGATTTTGTATTATATTATCAATCATTATGGAGTGTCCATCATAAATGGTAAGTGTAACAATATTTTATATAAAAAACACAGTGTTGCAGTGTACAATATTGTTTCAGATAATACCATCTAATTATGATTCTTTAAATACAAAAAAATGTATAAAACATCGAGGTCAATGCATGCCAGGTTTCCAATAGTAGCAATGCACATTATGAATGAAAAACCAACTTATAAGATCGACGATACACGCCTCCATTGACGATCCATTCAGAACAATCTATCCCAACGTACATGATTTTGAGTATTCAAATATATCTGCTATCAAGTAATATTATTGTCTTTAAAAAACAAATACTTAGCTAAGATACCATACTTATTATATTTTAGTAGTACGCCAAACTCTTGTTTTGTCTACATTGGACTCATTAGAAACGAACAAGTTCCTTATAAAATGGCAAACACATCAAACGAATGGAAAACAAGGACAAAAGAAGATGAGACTCTATTTGCCTTTGGTGAAAAAAACTGTACTCCCCCGGTATTTACCCTCAGTATGAGTGTTTTATCTATATTTGATTACGTTTTCTAAAACAATGTAACTATTATGTTAGTATTTAAACTGCAATGTTTAGATAAAAGTGAAATCATTGAAATCATTAACACGGTTCTTATACATATAACTATTAATTATTCCAGTTTTATAACAATTGAATAACTCAGAGTTTGACTTATCGTTTTTAAACCTGTCTATTGTCAAAGTCGGTATGTTGACCGCAAAAAATTTAAAAAAAAATTATTTTCTTGCATTCCTACTTTAGAATAGCCCTCAATGAACAACATAACAAACATAAAATTATGAATGGTAACATATAAACTCACTCGAATAAAATATAAGCTGTTAATCTATATTTCTGTACCAAGTCAGTAATATGGCAGTTGTTTTCCATTCGTTTGATGTGTTTTAGCTTTTGTTTTGCCATTTGATAAGGGACTTTCCGTTTTGAATTTTCCTTGGAGATCGGTATTTTTGTTATTTTACTTTTTTCTAAAAAAAAATTGATTTCAAAGCAAGACCAAAATCCTAAAACCATTTGCTTTAACAATTGGAGCTGTCACAGTGTCTAATTAACGTTTCGTCTCACATCAATGCGTTTTGATATAATTTCTTAAATATTCAAGTACAGACAGATTTTCACTTTTGAATAGCCATAGTAATTTTGCCTAATTTGAGATGTCTTAAAAGTTATAATATGCATATTTATTATCTCATTATTCATTGCATTTTATGTAAAACGACGAATACAAACGTACACTGATTATAAGATATTAGAATATAATTTTTTGACTTTCAGCATTATATTGTATTTTTTGTAAGTTATATTCTGATGAAACAAACAGAAAACACAATAAATATATAGTCCTAAATAATAGACATATAGATTCTACCACTGCATCGAGTGTGATACGATATTTATCCACTCGAGACAGTTAAATTTTCAAATTTAAAACGCGAGGCTCGCCGAGCGTTTTAAATATTTAAAATTTAACTGTCGAGAGTGGATAAATATCGTATTACACGAGATTTGGTGGTGGAATTTGTTTCTCTAATGATTTTCAAACAATATGCAGGCAAACTTATTCCTTCTTTTCGAATGATCTGCAAAAAGATGTGTTCTTTCTATGTGACGTCATCAGGCATGGTCGCATTTTTTCATGCCGTCACAATAGGAAATTCAGAGGAAAGCAAAAGAATTTGGATTTTAACCAATGAAGAACTGAGATCAAACGAACCACACGTTGATTACATTTTTTTATACAATGGGTGCAGAAAGTGATAAATTGACGACGAATTAGAGAAAAATATGTATACAATATGTCAAGCTCTAAAAAAGGAGTAACAAAAATACCGAACTACAAGGGATATCCCTTCAAAATGACAAAAATCAATTTTTTTTTTACATTGTGTCTCTTTCAAACAGACTTCCAACGATCTATAAATTCTCAGTCATACCTAGACGTTAACCTATCAGGTGGTAGTATATAACGATATTAAATGGGAAATTTCTAGATCAATTTGATATTTTTTACTTTTTACTCTTATTCGAGATATAATTATAAGATCTCTGGCAAATTCAGTGAATTAATCAGTTATGTAGCTTAACACTTTGAATGACAACGACGGAAAAACAACCAAGAAAACAAATGATTATAACATAACCAACGAAAATTAGTAAACTGAGATTTTTTAATTCATCAACAAGGACCAAACAAAAACTAGGGATGATATTCTTAAGGCGAGTAATTCCACGTTCAGATTTGGAAAATATTCTGTTGAGCATTTGGAGATCCGCCAAAATGGTCACGTAATGGATTTGATAATTCAGATCCTAACATGGTTGATTATTATTTAGTGCGAAACGCGGAAAAACCTAGATTCTTATTTCCTGACGTTTCTGACTCTGTCGCACAATTTGTCTCGTTAACAGAGATTACAAATTATTTGCGTCGACTACATTGCAATTAAGCGAGCATTCCGGTCGGAACGTACTATTCAAAATTAATGCACGAACATTTATGCAAGTAATCCGATTAAGTATACCTTATTTTTGGCTTTGCGCTCTCCTGATCAAGGTAAATCCAGAAAACGTTTCGGAGGCATACAATTTAAAAGTGTTATTTTCAACATTGCATTCTGCTAAATTTACATCATTTCACAGAAAAAAATTAAGGTTAACAGTAATACACTTAAGCAAATAATATGCGGACGGAAACGCATCGAGAAACAAGTTAAACTTTAATTTCTAGTTATCTAACGGTAGTTTTATAAATTCACATGGTTAACTACTTTTTTGACTTACACAATTTCTTTTTCAAACACGAATTTAGATTAAAAAAGAAGAGTAGATAATTGCAAAAATTTCGATGTAAAAATGAGATACAATAATTCAGTGAACCTTTAATGGAAATTATGATAGTGTATTTAATTGTATTCTACTGTACTTTTATAATTGCCAATGACACAACTATCCACACATCGTAGAGGCCAAAGTAACATCTCCGTTCAAAGACGGAAAATTAACGATAAAGAAACGTAGAATCGTCTCTTTTATCGTAAATTGTTGTATCTATTTTCCGTGAAAAACTAAAATATAAACTTTAGAAAATGGCCATTATTGCTATTTTTATCAGATCACTAGGTTTAAGAGTAACTTTCCTCTGTAAAAGATTATTTAAATGTTAACTTTGCTTCAGATAGTGGCAAAGTGAATTATAATAGATTTTTAAATCATGCCAGTAAACAGCCATCCATCCAACTATGCATTTATTTCATTTCACGAAACGAGGATTGATTCGATTGAGACTCGCAAATTATTTGCCACTTTTAAAAGAAAAGTATGATGTTAAGAAGCATACCTAACACCAAATAAGAAATAATAAATTGA